TTCACTCACAGTGTGTGTCTGACCGGCCCGCATGCTGCACTAAGACCACTGCTGCTGCCGCCGGCGATGGAATACAGCTGTCCGGGCTTTGGTCCACTCTCCCAGAAACTCAACTTCAAACCGCACGACTCCATGTTGAAAATATTCTGGAGGAAGTGACGACACAGCGTCTTCTTGTTGGGATGCGCCAGAGCTTTACCACCACCTGGCGTTGGGAGGTAGATAGGTACTTTATTGATCCCTCAATGGGGAAATTTCAGTGTTTCAGCAGCAATAGAAAACAAATTTCACACCATCAGAAACAAACACCACACACATATCTTGATAAACAAATTTCAGTACCTCAAGCAGCAATAGAAAACAAATTTCACACCATCAGAAACAAACACCACACACATATCTTGATAAACAAATTTCAGTACCTCAAGCAGCAATAGAGAACAGACAGCATAACACCATGAGAACAAGCACCGCACACACATCCTGATAAATAAATTCCAAGTACTCAAAAATAGACAGAATCAAGTATTTGAATAATCAAGAACAGAATTTACATATGTGCATGTTAACCATGCATTTTACCCCAGGATTTGAGTATTGCACCTCAAGCCCACAACAGTGTAAAAACCAGCAGATGCCACTACAGTGTAAAAACCAGCAGATGCCACTACAGTGTAAAAACCAGCAGATGCCACTACAGTATCATAAAAAGTAAGAGGGAGTGCCACCCACACACCAAAGGACCTCAGTCTCCTTAACAAGTGGAGGTGGCTCTGGCTGTTCTTGTACAGGGGATCAGTGTTTTCAGTCCAATCCATTTTGTTGTTGAGGTGGACCCCCAGGTATTTAAAGGTGTCCACAATCTCAATGACTGAGCCCTGAAAGCTCACCAGAGTGAGTGCTGGTGATTTCTGCCGGTGGTCAATCACCATCTCTTTAGTCTTACTGGTGTTCAGGACCAGTTGATTTTCCTCACACCACTTCACAAAGTCAGTACAACCCCCCTATATTCCTGCTCATCCCCCCCCATTACACATCCAACAATGGCGGTGTCATCATAGAGGTTTTGAGGGTGACAGTGGTGGGAGTTGTGCTTGAAATATTCCGGCTCATCCCCCCCCATTACACATCCAACAATGGCGGTGTCATCATAGAGGTTTTGAGGGTGACAGTGGTGGGAGTTGTGCTTGAAGTCCGACGTATAGAGGGTGAACAGAAGGGGGGAAAGCACCATCCCCTGGGGCGCCCCCATGCTGCAGACCACCACGTCTGACACACAGTCACGCAGCCTGACAAACTGAGGTCTGTTTGTGAGGTAGTTAATGGTCCATGCGGGCAGGTATTGGTCCACACCTGCCCCCCTCAGCAGTGACAGCTGGATTGTGCTGAAAGCACTGGAGAAGTCAAAGAACAGAACAGCTGCTGTTAGTTTAGTAAGAGGGTCCAAAAGTGACAAATGAATAAAACATATTTACATTCTGTGAAAAATGAAAACATAAATAAATGTACAATAAACAAAATGTCCATTGTACATATTGAAATAGTAAATGTTTATCTTTATTTTATATTTTTAGTTACTTTCTTCTACGTTTTATATGGCCCAAAGTAGGGTCCAACTAACATTTCTTTCCACTATTGTTTTTTTTGTTATTCTTGCGATTGTTTCTTTGATTAATCAATTAATCATTAGTCTTTTCAATGTCATTAAACTTAGAATATATATTTACAAATATAAAAAAATACATTAAACATTAAAAAATGTCTGTATTGCCACTTCTGAGACCAAGGAGACATCATCAAATGTATATAATTTTTTTTGTCCAAAATACAAAAAGATTCAGTTTCCAATGATTTAAAACAGAGAAAAGCAACAAATTTTCTTATTTGAGATGGTGGAACCAGAGAAAATTTAATATATTGTTGTTATACAGCATTTTTTATCTGATTTTTTCTCTATTCATTGACTAATCAGTTATTGTTTCAGCCAAATCAGAGCCTTTTCCCAAGTGAAAATACCAATACTACACACTAAAAATACTCCATTGCAAGTAAAAGTCCTTTATTCAAGATGCTATTTAAGTAAAACAATTTTATTAGTCAGCAAAATGTTAAAGCATTTAAAGTAATCATTAACTATAATGCAGAGAAATGCCCCTTTGAGAGTATACAAGGACTGCACTCTTCTGGACAGAGCTCTCCTATCCCTATCCCTGTCCTATCCAGTCCTAGGACACACAGGACATGTTCTGCATACTATTTATATAAATCCGGGACTTTACATTTTACGCTTGTTTCAGGGGAAGTGTGTCTCTGTTGGACAGCTCAGACTGACACTGGGACTAGTGGTGGCTGATGGAGGCTTTGTTGAAGCTTCCACACAGTATTCACAAAAATGGTTCATTACTCGAGGCTTTAATGACAGAGGGGTCGGGTAGAGGTACGTGGGTAAAGAGGGCATGTTTGTGTAACTGTTACCTAGATATATATCTTATCTATATATGTATGTATGTATGTATATATATATATATATACATACATATATATAATCTATATCTAACATTATTTAGGACTATCTATGTAACTATATCTATCTAGTTTTATCTAACTATGTAACTAATTTCTCTATGTAACTTACTTATCTAGCTATCTATTGATCTATCTTTCTATCTACTGTGATTCTCCACTAAATACACAATCTGTTACAACACTACTAACTCTCAAAGCAACAAACCAACCTGCTCTGCAAAGAAAAATTCAAATGAACTCCACTAAATAGGAATATACTTTCCCTGAACACACTCTATCCCGCAAAGTGATTCACATGACAAACCGAACCAATCAGCTGATTTGTATGACATCCCAGGCACCCAATTGCTTCGAACGTCACTCAAGTGCTTCAAATGTCACTAGTCATGTGACCAAAACATGCCTCAGCACAGCGGTTCAATACAATTGCTTCATGAGCTACCATGAATGTGTCAGAGCCTCGGGTGTCAGAGGACCATCACTAACTGGGACAACATGTAAACAGCAATAGGTTTGTGTGATGTAAACTGGTTTGGGAAGGTTACTCAAAGTAAAAGAAAAGTACATTTAAAGCATAAAAGTACTCAGTACACTTTCAGTGAATATATGAAATGACACTGACTCCGAGAGCTCATACTGCAACCACCACGACGTAAATCATCACACAGGAACTCATTTTGTTTTTTTATCAATCCCACTGACAAGATGAGCTTCTGACTTGGTGAGTTGAATGACATTTCAGGGCTTTTTTGTTTTAAAACAACTAAACTAGCATATTGGCAGACATCCTAGCATGCACTGTTTGATAGTTTAAACCCCCCAGAATGTCTTCTTCTTCTTCTGATTGTATCTAACTCATGTGAAATAAAGTTCTGGTTGTTTTTGTTCATAGTGATGAGAACACTGCGAGCCATGACGTACACTTACACTGCTGGACTGACTCTGGTACAATGTGGCTTCCACAGAAGTGGCTGTAAGTTCTTCTTAAACCAGGAAGTGATTCTTCAGACTGAGAAACGTAGCAGCCGGTCAGTTGTAACAACCGAGCCTGTTTTCTCACATCACTTCCCTCAGCTAGTTTTATATGTTCAGAACTCAGAGTGAACAAATCTGAGTTCAGGAACTCACATTTTATGCACCTTACTTCCTAAATGATGTCCAGTGTATATTATGCTGTGGTTGTGCAGGTCTGATGTCGGTCTGTGTGGTGAGGACGGTGTGTGGCTCTGCTGGCAGACAAACCAACAGCTTGTCCTGAACACCACGATGCTGAACAAAGGCTGGAGGGTGTGTTGGCTGAGACCTGTCAGGTCTGATGTCAGAGAGGTACTGCATGGTGGGAGGAGCTTTCTGAAGCCATTTGCCATGTCAACAAGCAGGTCATGATGCTGGCTCGTCCCCAGCCATAACTGTGACTGTCTCTAACCAACAGTCTGCCAATCACAGTCACGTCGCCCACAGTGATTGGCTGTGTGTAGGTGAAGTGGGACTGGACACCTCTGTCACAGCTTTTCATGTCATCATCACCCAACATTATGAATGTCTCTGAGGAGAGACCATTTGAACGTGTGTACCATTATCCCCTTAAAAAATGTTCCACATGATACTACATATGATTATAACCAGGTTACAACTTGAACTAGAGGATGTTACTTTGTGGTTGATGATGAGACAACGGCAGTGGTGACATCATGAGGTATCAGTCAAAGGATCTGTGAGTTCCTCTTCAGAGTTGTCCTCCGCTTTTGCTGTAAGCCACACCTACTGCTGACCTGACCTTCTGCCCCCATCGCTCACATGCTGCTTCTCACACACAGGTAGCATTAATTCCCGAGGATGGGTAACGACCTCCCAAGGAACGCGGGACATCAAAAGAAGAATAGACCAGTTGACTTACAGTACCATCTTACTGACCTTGGTTTCTCACGTCCACTTAACTCACTTAGTTTTACATTTTCCCCACTGACCCTACTGTCAGGAGATGACCCGCTCTGCATCCTGAACCACAGCCTACCAGAACCCACAGGGGAACCTGGGTGTGTCAAGTGAACAGCCTTAAACTGACTCCCAGTGTATGTGATGTTGTTTTTGTACAGCCCATGTCTGAGATCTGTCAGTCTGGAGGAGACTGGCTGCTTTGTTGAGTGACAAACCAGCAGCTGGTTCTGAGCAGGAGCAGGAGCCAGAGCCAGTGTGGACAGAGCTGATCACAGAGCTCACTGCTCTGACAACAGACAGTCAACTAATACACTGTCAGATAGTTTAATATGTTAATAAAAGACTTTATTGATCACAGAGGAAATCACAAGCTACTCAAGAGTACACAAAGTACCAGTTGCAATATGGTGACCAACATGTCAGCAAATCATTATTATTATCCAGTATGTGTGTGTACATTCTATACGCTACATAGATACATTATTAATAGACCTGCACAATGTAGACTAAATTATCACAGAGAAGCTACAGACTGTTTACATGACAGTTTCAGATCAGTGACACCTGCCCCATACACCGTCGTCTTGGTCATTTATTTTGAACTCCTTAACAATCACATTACCAACGGGGTCAGTCTCGCACATACAACTCAGACCTACGGTTCAAAAACACAGCACACAACCAGCTAGCAAAACATCGTTAACAACACATCAGTATAAGTCAGTAACATCAACACGCAACAGGGTAACACATAAGAACACTAACAGTAATTTTATAACTGCTCTCTGAACTAACAACTGAGCTCCCATGATTCCCCTTTGCATCATGCCGCTGCCACCCCCCCAATGGCTGGCGTAGATCGTCACATTGTTTTTGTTTTCTAAACTGATTACAGAGGAGTGTCTTGCTTTTTGAACTGTTGCCTGGTGCCACCTATATCTCCGTGGGCCTTGCTGCCGAGCGACGATCGTTGGTAGGGATCCATATCAAGTGCCTGGGTCAGTGAAGCGTGGGCGCTTGTTCCTGTCTGCATACCTTGGCGCTGGGTTCCAAGCACGCTCTCCAGCCCGGAGATATAACGCAGGTCACCTGTGTTGTGCTCTACTTCATCACACCCTCATCCGCCTGTTGTCCCCTCTCCTAATCTCCTTCTCTGCTCTATATGCAGTGCCAAAACCTCTCCTCCGACCCCGGGCGGCTCCTCCAGTGGTCCAGTCATTTCAGCGGCCCCAAACGCCCGAGACCCACGCCGGCAGCTCCGCGTCTGATCCTCACCACCTCCTTTCCGTTCCATACTCTGTCAAATAAATATCTTTCTCTGACCTGAGTTTGAGTCCTGCCTATTACTGAGTCCAGTGCAGCTGGTTTGGTCAAGTTAACATTTACCGCTTTTCACATATGTATCTTTAGTACTGTTGCCATGGTTACTGAGCTCAGAGAGGGAAATGAAGCATGAAGACCAGTTTCATCCAGTGATGAAGGATGAAGATTCATGACGATTTGGGGCTCTCTTTCTGTGTCTGCCAAAAAAAGACTCAAAGCTTCAAACCTCAAACACAGCGACATCTCGTGGCTTGTAAAAGCTGCAGCAGCTCTTCAACTCTGACTTCACTCCTCACTGACTCTGTTGTGGCAGCAAAGGTCCAAGATACATGTGTGTTATGAGTCACCCTCTCAGGGAGAATGGTACCTGTTAAATAATCCTATTTGGTACCAAGTGAAAATGTTCTCGTACTGAGGATGTGTTTTTACTGATCATCACCAAATTGCTTGTAAAACTGTATAAAGTAATTTCCTGCATTTCATCTGCTGGGTTTCTGTGTATAAACGGTGAAACAATACTTGTAAAACGTTGCATTGTGTGACGGGTACGTGTTCACAAAGTCATGTCTTTCTGATGCCCACAATTCCTCCATGGCTGTTAGACATGACTACTGGGGAAAAACCTTTCTTCCAACCCTGGCTAGGTAGCAGGCGGGGCTAATTTACAGACCGTACTTTGACAACATAGGGCGGAGAAGCTGGAATAACAACAGGAGAGAGGTATGCAGCAGAGGGTGATGGGGGGTGGTAGCTGAGAGACAGCCCAGGTTTGTGGAGCAGCACCAGTCTGATCTTCCCACAGCTCCAGTGACGTAAGATGAGCTCTGACACTGTTGAGGAGCTTTGTCTTTACAAAGTTTCATCAGTCTCTGAACGCCATCAAAGCGCCTTTCATTTATTGATGAGGCTGATTATCAATATGTCATATACGTTTTGACCTCATTTGTTGTAACTGGTGCAAACAAAAATGGTGGAGAAACATCAAGTTCTGATTTTTAAAAACCAGCAGCTGCTTTAAAGGAAGGAATCATCTAGAAACCAGTCAGCAGCAGTAACGAGGTGTCGAATGGGATGCTGAACTTCACAGCAGTGTGGGCAGAGGAACAGTTGCACACACCGGTGGCTGTTCCAATGTGCACATGGGCATCCATGTGTTGAGACAAAACAAAGCTGGCCTTTACATGTGATAAAACAGGGAGCAGCCTGTAAAGATCTTTGTGCAGGAGCTAGAAAACAGAAAAAGCTGATACTCACAGGAACGGTCTGTGTATGAGCTTCATCTTCATGGTGATTCAACACATTTAACAAGAAACGGCTGAATCCTGTGCAAACGCAAATTTAAACAGACACACCTCGTCCAGCTGTCCCTCACCTGAACAGGTGAGGCCCATTCCACCTCAGGTTGTTGGTGCAGCACCACAGGCCCTGCTCTCAGTGTTTGTACAGTGAATCGCCACATTTCTTCTCTCTGCTTCCTGAAAAACATGTTCTTCGGCAGCACATCCATGGGGTTTAGTGGAATGTGTAACACTGACAGATGCTCGTCTTACTACACTTACACTTGTGTCTGAGGACTGGTTTGGACCCGCGAATCCTGAAACCACAGGCTTTGTCTTCATAAAGAACAACCACTGTGGCTTCGTCCCAGTGAACTGGGAGTTTATTCATGATGCTAAAATTAATTAACAGTATGCCGTATGTAGCTGCAGGGTGCAGGCCTCTACGCTGCCACTGTGGTCCCTGCGCCCATCCACCATCTGCCTTCATGTATGATGACTCACACACATGCAGATTATGTGACTCCAGGATAAAATTAGATTCCCATATGTCCAGATTGAGGAGACTGAAGCAGCTCAATGTCCAAACTGTTTATAATCTGAGGCTGAATTTCTCCTGAAAATCAGATATAGAACAGGCCAAAATCACCATAACACAACAATAACAAAAGGAGACACAAACAATACAACAGAAGATAAACCAACTCAAACACACAACCCAGTTTTATTTCTTTACAAAACAAGAGCGTGGACTCACAGGAGCTCGGACAGAAGGCAGGAAGAGATATACACTTCAGTTTAGACACCACAACTTTCAGCCACGTAGAAAATATAGAAGAGCTCTGAGTGAGAAGGCCGCTGGTGTGGGTCTGAAACAAGTCTGCTCATTCCAGGATGACACCAAAACCTTTTACTGTGAAAATCATGCACACTCTACAACTGCAGTGACATACATTATCTACATTTACTCATTTATTCTTGTGGTAAAGTTTCAAGTTCTGCATCTGAAAGAAAACATCCAACTTCAAAATGGATAAAAACAAACTACTGACTATTTTGTTAATCACGTTGAAACAATGTAGGTTAGATGGACAAATTATTTTCTGGACTTTGAAATCCTATGTTTAAAAACACAAATAAGGCTTTTGTGTTTGAAAAGTGAAAAAAATACAGATTTTTTTTAAAAATATGTTTTTGGCAAATTCACATTAAAAACCTGGAGTCTAAAAAAAATCTGATTTTCAAATGAAAATGTTTGATTTCATGAGTAAATTTTGGTCCATGTATCATCTATTCAAAAATCTATTGAAAAAGGAAACTTTGTTTTTTTCTGTTCTAATAAACCAAATAAACAAAAACCTGTTGTTTCTGGTTTTCCAGTTGTCTAAACCCGTCAGACATTTAAATGATCAGAGTCGATGACAGACGGCTGGCGCTGCAGGAGGAGTCGCGGTTACAACAACAGAAACAACCAGAGCTTCACTGTTAAAAACAGTTATGCACCACACATTGTCAGTGTTCTGAGGGGGTGGGGGTGGGGTGTCCCAACCTGTGTGATGTCTGCATGTGACATGTAGTTTGTTAATAACTACAGTATCCCTCATTCCCTGAAGCCCTCCCTGACTGAACCCACACAGACAATGTAGTTGTGTAGTTTGCCTGGTGTGTATCAGCTGCCTGCGTGACCCCCTCCCCCACTGAGGGAGGGTGACCAGTGCTGGCCTCGTTCTGGTCATGTGATGATGTTACAGTAGAAAGCTAATGACTCACACATCAACACTAGATGTCGCTGTGTGACGGGAACGTGTTGAGTCAGTCTGTTTACAGCTCACCGCTCTGTGCTCTTCAGCTGCTAAACTCTACATCTCTGACAAATCTGGTAACAGCACATCATTGTGTGGACGTCTCTGTGAGTGGAACTCCTAACGTTACAGCCCACAGCCCAACTGGTTTTTGTTCACTGGGTCCCACTTTCAAATGGTGAATTGACTTGTTTTGTTGACATTTTGCTGTTTTCCAAAGGGAAGAGATTAATAGAGCATGCCAGTCATTTTCTGTTTTAACAATGTTTCCAACAGTCCCACCCAGAAACTGACATCAGCAGGGCCTCTCCTCACTGCTAATGTCTGGCTCAATGTGTTCGTCTGGGCCACAGGCCTCTGTTGGTGGTTAAAAACGATTAAAGCACCTGTGGAAAACACACCGCTGCACACGTTTCCTCAGTATGAAACACCAGAGACTGACATTTGGTCTCGGCTCTGGCCTGCTTCAGATGCTGTAAAACCTTTTGTTGCAATGTTTTAAAAAACATGAGGGTCTGGTATTACATACTGAGGAACCTGCCCCCCTGTGCAGCGGTGTGTTTCCTGAGGGTTTTTATCAGCAGTGAACAGAGGCCCTGCTGGTTTCACTGTCTGGATGGGAACAGAAAATGACCAGACTCGTCTTTTATTAACCAGACGATACACAGACCAAATGTTACTGCTGACTTGTATTTGTTGTTTCACAGAACTTGTGTAAAGTGGCCGGTGGTGTTTCTGCTCAGTCTGCTTCTGAGTGCAGAGCCACAAAACAAAGAGCTGACACGTCCATGAAGCATCCATTTAAATCTTTATCAACACTAAAGCTCTGCATTGATAAAATACCTTCAGGTTGATCTACAGCACTGAGAAGAAAGCACATCAGACAGTGTTTCCACAGTTGGTTTCAGTTAGGACTTGAAACAGACCTTCACCTGTCGTCACCAGGTAATGAAACGCCGTGGAGAGACGGACACAGGACTCGTACAAAACGCTGAGAAATACAGTTTTGATTGTTTTTGTGACAACTTCGTCAAAGCCACAACACAGACCAGAGAAACAGGAGCTGCTTGTCACTTACTTGTTAACAAATGCACTGAAAATGAGAGACTTCACAGTTTCAGGGCAGACACACAGTCAACAGGAAGTGATTAAAGGGAAAATCCACCTAAAACCTCACCCATTGAAAGCACACACATGCAGAACAGTCCCAGTGATGTGCTCTGTAACATTCTCATAGGAAATGTTATAATGTTCAGAAATGGAAAAAAGCTGTTGTTTCTGTCTCTTTGTTGTCATTTTGTCTCTCTGTGGTAGTTTTGCAGCTGTTTTTGGTTTATGGTTGTTGATTTCTGCCTCTGTTGTTTTGGGTTTGCGTCACATTGTAGCTGTTGTGCATCTCTTCCTGGTTGTTCAAGTTTCTTTGAGTCTCTGTGATTGTTTTGTGTCTCCTTGTTGTAGTTTTGTGACCATTTTGCATCTCTTTGTTTGACTGAGTTTCCATCAGGAAATATTAACAGTCGGTTGGGACAGAGGCTCTGGCCCCCTCCGGCCCCTCAGGCCCCTGACCCTGTGTCTGGGAGGCCCCTTCACTGTTCCGTCCATGACTCTGGTGGATTTCCCCTTTGAGTACAGTGTGAAGAAAAATGACAGCTGGAGTGTAAAGTTCAGCTCAGAAGCACTGGCACTTCCCAAAATTTAACACAGAGGAAAAGAAAGCCTCATCAGAAAAGAGGAAAGGAGTCTCAAGTCCCTTAAAGGGTAAAAAACAGCAGCGATGGAGCTGCTGGAGCTTCTTATCTTATGTAAACAGGCTTAGTGTAAGGCAAGGAGGAGGAGGAAGGAGTGAGAGGCTGAACTGAAGTTTAAGAGGGATGAAGGTGTGGGAGGAAGACAGGATGATGAAGAGCATGAGTAAGCAAAGGGAGGCGGACAGGCGAGGAGGAGGAGCAGAAAGGCAGTCAGCAGAATTAAAGGGATGAGACGAAGGCTCAGACAAAAACTTGTACTGAAGACGTGATTTGAAATGAGACCGAGAACAACAAGCCGATCGGTTCATCGCCATGAGTCTGTGACAACGCGAGACCCTTCGTCTCTTTCTAGAAGAAACGAGATGATGAAAATGAGCCATGAAAGTACAAGGTCAAACATGACGAGTAACCATGTGTTTAACTACAACTAATTTATTTTAGAATGTGAAAATAAATAAGAGTCTTTTCTGTGGAGAACTGTTCTAGCTGTGACTCTTAGTGTAAAATGTGTGAACTAGACTTTTTGATATCTACAATAAACTGCTTCATTTTTAAACAGTGAATATTCATTAAGAAAATAAAATGCAAGAATTTTTAACTCTGTTACATGATTTTTTACACAGAGTCAACATAATGTTTATGACCAAGTATGTCAAAAAGCTTTTTTTTACCCTGTTGTCTGTGTGAATTTACAAAACATCCTGTACCAGGACTCGTGTGACCCTCCATTCTCTCTGTGCTCATCACAGGGCTCTAACCTGCACGGCTTCTGTTCTGGTTTTGCTGCAGGATGGAGCTCGGCCCGTGGCTCCGCTGCCGCCTTTAGCCATGGAGGCTGGACTAGGTGTGTCACTCTGTCATGTTGATCTTAATTCAGCTCAACTTTCCTGCAGGTCTTTTGTCTCCAGCTTGAATAAGAAAAACAGAAAACGACTGAGAGGGAGCCAGGCTTTTTCTTCACAACGGTAGGAGCTCAGTTCTGTTTCCATCTGTCTGCGTGTGCCGGTTAGGCAGGTAGTAGCTCTGTTGACACCCGGCAGAGACATTTAAACGTCAGACTAACGGCGCTGGTAGAGCTCAGACTGGCTGGTTCCAACGTCTGTTGGTGAACAACTAAAGGCAACAGGAACTTGCGGTATATAAACCCTCAGGGAGAAAACATGCTTTGCATCCCTGCACAAGTCAGAGGGGCCAATGAAATCACCGGGCCTCGTGGAAGCAGCACGCAGTTACTGAACACAGTGAGTGGCAAACAAGTGATTTGAAAAACTTGTGCATTTACCAAATTTCACTGTGTCACATTCTTAGTCACAAACTAATAAACTGAGGCTCAGACAGAATGAAAAGTCTGCCTTTATTATGAACTCTGCTTTGTTTTAGTGAGACGCATTTGGCCTTTTGTTGGTGCACACCGCTGCATGGACTCTGCTAATTTTATGAATGTATGTCTATGAACAGTGCTAATTCATTTTTTCATCCCTATGAATGAAACTTGCCTACAAAGGGGTCCAAAGACAGTAACCCCCTGGTTTCTGCTCAGCAGTTTATAATGGCAGCACCTGAACACAGCAGAAATAAAGAGTGCCTCGGCTAGTGGCAGGAGAAAAACTACATTTACATTTTTATAGAATATTAAGCTTCAGGGAAAACGAGCAGTGTCACTGCATCACACAATGAGTGAGGCCAAAAATGGTTTTAACAGGTTGAAAAAAGACAAACAGGCCAAAGTACACCAGCAGCAGCTCTCCCAGTCTCCCAAGGGAAACTCTGGTTTCATATGCTGGGAAACCTGGGGCGACCATTAGGCTGACGACACGTCCCTTAGTGCCAGAGTAGATTTTCAGCTATACACAAGCAGCGCCCTAAATCGTTTGAGTGGCCACATAATTTATCACGACTTAAACCACACAACTATTCACTCAGAGAACAGATAAACTACGCAAAAGCTAAACCTTAAACCTTCGGAAAAGGCTTGGGGGGGTGAGTCCTTGTGGCGAAGGAACAGGCCGATGTCCCCACAAAGTAAACGCCAGCGTTCTTTCTCTTTGAGGAAGAGACTACCTTCTATCTAAAGCTTTAAGGAGAGATAAACCAGGAACAATCTCAACTTTAATCCTAAAGAAAACGCTCAAACTTCTTTATCTGCACCCAAATGGGAGGTGAGTCCCTTTGGCGTAGGAACAGGATGATGTCCCCACAGCGTAACACCAACTGGTCTGGAGCCGTACACTGTATAACTGCATCTTAATTAAATGCCAGCTGTATTTTGGCTCCTGCAGCAGCTGACAGCAGAGCAATGAGAGTTTTTCTTCTTTCAGGGAGACATGAGCAAAAGAAGAGCTGAAGAGATAAGACAGAGCGAGACGCCTCGTTCGGAGAAAGCTCTTCTTCTTTGGTCCTTCTACCTTTATCTACTCTTTGGCTTTTCTTTATACGTACATGTTAGCAAAGCAAACGTATTTTACCTGTCGAACCTGTAAAGCCAAACGACAGTTTAGAAAACGGCCGAGATGGAGGAACGAGGATGGAGGGAGGGAGGGAGGGACGGGGGAAGGGGGCAGGATGGAGGCAGGTGGAGGGTTTAGTTCGGCAGTGATCTGCTGTCTGACAGCGAGTGTTGTGTGTGTGGAGACATACAAGCAGTGTGTCCACTGTATCATCGTGTATTTTTCATTAAGCTGCATGTGCTTACAAGAGGTGCACGGAAAACGAAGGCAGTAGGTGTGATCACATGTTTATGCTGTGTATAACTGTGTGTGTGTCCTCACTGCTGTGCCTGCACTTGTGTCTCTGTGGAGACTAATTAGCATTTCACACCTCTGAGCAAGGTCATTTTCTAACGTGACAACACTTGGTGAAAAGGAGGATGTTCTGCAAAGTGAGGACATTTCAGGAAAGTAAGATTATTTCTGCAGAAGTGAAATCCTTCAGTAAAGTGCAGACATTATGAAGACATTTCTGTAAATGTTCAGGAACTAATAACATTTTTTCTGAAGTGAGAATCGTTTGGAAAAATGAGGACCTTATCTGGAAGGCAAGGACACATGTTCACAATTAGGAACATTTTGGAAATAAAACTGGAACTTTTTTTGGAAAGTAATTTTAGCAAAAGTGAAGAAGTGGGGACCACATGAGGACAGTTTTGGCAAACAGGCATTTCTGTAAAATGGTTGGGGACAAAGTGAAAGTGTTTTCATAAGTATAGAAGTACAGTAAAGTGTGTGTGTGTGTGTGTGTGTGTGTGTGTGCGCGCGTGCGTGCGTGGACTTTGTCAGTACAAGATCAGAGGATCCTTCCATCAGCTGCTTCACGTAAGACACGAAGATACATGAGGGTGACTGAAGAGCTGCATTCAGGAGCAAGAAAATCCAGCATCTGGATAAAAACTGTGAAGACAGAAGGATGATGGAAGAGTCAGCCCATCACACATGGTGACTGCAGCCTGCTTCCATGTTCAGCTCCATCCAGGCTCCTCTTCTTATCGTCATTATCACCACTATCTCTGTGGTTTTGTGGATTTTCCATCCATTTTTCTTTTGCTTATGGGTCGCGATGACCTGGTCACGGTGGCAGCAGGTTCAGCACGATGGTCCAGACGTCTCCCTCCCCTGCAACATTTTCCAGCTCCTCTGGCTGGAATTTTTCTAAAACCCAAAAGCTTCCATCATTAACATGAGTTCATCTACTGTATAAATAAAAACCTGAACCTCGTCAGAGCTGAGAGGCTGTTCTTGTTGCCTGTTCTGTAACCTGGACTGGAGGAGCTGTCACCCTGAGGATGGAGGTCAGGCAGCTGCTTTCTGGGCAGCAACAAAATGTTATAATGAGAGTGGACAAAAGCAGGCCAAGACAACAGAGGTCTGGGGAGAGTCTGTTCGATTAACGGTTTCTTTTCAACCATTTGAATTGGGATTTTTTTTAAAGAGGAAGAGGTTAGTGGAGCTGAAGTTGGAGACAAAAAGAAACAAAACAGACGCTGACCCAAACTCCAGCCTCCAGAGCCTGCAGATTGACAACATATAAGGTTTGTGTTGCTCTGGAAACTCATCTGCACATTTCCCAGAAATCCTGACACTTTCTGAGGCAGGGGAGTCGGCGCTGACACAAAGTAAAGATGGCAAGAAAACACATTAACTCTGCAACTAAAGGCTTTGAACTGGAGGGACTAAGGACGGGCTGATGGTTTTCTAAGTGGCTGTGACATTATGCAGGTGGAGGTCTCCAGTGATCCTCATCTGTGTGTTGACAAAGTCCTGCTGGGTACCAAACCCAGACGGCCTCATCAAACTCTGATGCCTGGAAGGCCCCACGTGGGATCAGACGGAGCCCACGTCTCTATACGTTCCCAGAAACGACAAAACCCCATGACTTTTATCCACCAAAAGAAATCCCCCCAAAGCTGTATTCACTGAGGCCTCACATAATTCCCCCCCTGCAGAGGACTCCTCTGGAGAGCCGTGAAGACTTTCAGAGATTCACCGAGCGGAGTGAAGATGTAGTCCCACTGAGGAAGAGGAAGAGGAGGCAGAAACAAGCTTGGAGGTTTTCAGCCCAGCTGCAGGGAGAGTGGACGCGGTGGTGGGGTGGTCTGAGGAGCCCCACCAGGACCAGGATCATATTTGAAGCAGCAGAGTTGAATTCAACCACCATTTTGAGCCTTTAATTCAAAATAAACCTGGAAAACAAAAGCCCCATCATTTGCTGTGTGCACCGACGCCTCCCTCTGAAACTTTCCTCTGGCAGCCTTTCATATCCTTCTGAGTCTTTTCACCAGTTTCAAACCATTTCTCTGCTCAGGGGGATTTTCAGCTCGATGGCTCAGAGCAGGACTGACGGGACCTCCGACCATGAGGACACCCATTACAGCAGTGTGTGCAGGTCGCCTGAGGGGAAACAAGATGACAACACATTACTGCAGCTCTCCTCCATGTCTGCCTCTGCTCACATCAGTGTGTTCTGCATCTCTAATTAGGTTCCTGTGTATGTATCATCTGAAGGTGAAGCTGAAAGTCGAGCTAGATCACCAGCAGACAGCCCAGGGCCCAACAGCCTCAGGCTTACTGGGTCTACTGGTTTGGGCCAACTTCATCAGAAAGGAAACCAGAGAATCCTGCACTGTGTCCATCAGGGTCATGGTTCTTTGACAACCCAGAGGGAGCTCTTCAGACAAGTATGAGACACTAAACCACAGGTACAAATGCACAAACGGGAGAAGTGTTTATTTCCCTTCACCTGTTTCAGGGACGGCCAGTCCCGGTCCTCAAGGGCCACTGCCATGCCCTGCCTGCTGCCGATCACCTGGATCAGGTGTGTGCAGTCAGTCAGAAGAAACCATCTTAGATGAAGGTGGAGTGAGGAAAGACAGCAAGCAGTACAGCAGCCCTCGAGGACCAGGACCGGCCGCCCCAATCTGTTTTAACATCAGGCTGCAGTAGGACCTTTAGTGGAAACCACATCCTTACTGCTTCTCTGTCACAGCTGTTCTTGATGGCACTAAATAAGCTTTGTTTATTCTGGAAAATCATTTTAGAATGATTCGTGCAGGTTGTCTGGTAAACCACAGAAATAGCAGCACACATACAGACTGCAGGGAAGAACCAGCCAATCAGGTACAGCTGTGCACAGACAACCTGCCAGTGCTCTCAACAACAGGCTAAGATTACATTGAATCTTAATGAGGGTTTTAATGAGCACTTTCCACTGAGTGTACATATAATCTACATGTTTGGGTTTGATTTAAGGTTTAATTATAACCTTCTGGAACGTGTCTTTCTCCTTGATGTGTCTTTAAACGACCAGTAGAAAATATCCATGTCTGTGCGCCTGCTGCATCATGTTACACACAGAGCCTGAAGCACAGCAGGTGGTCTCTGTGTAAACTTCAGGCTGTGGAGATGAGGCTTGTAAAGTGCAGCACACACACTGAGGCTGAGTCGACAGACCCACCTGTGGATCTGGCAGGCTCCCTCCATTTTTAGCAAACCAGGAGGCTTCCAGCTCGCTGTCTGTTCTGTGTCAAACCCAGAGAAATCGAAGCTCAGGAACAGCCTGCCTGTGTTGTATTACTCATGGACATGTCTTGTGTTTCTCCTCCGTCCCCTCAGAGCTGAGCTGGCAGCAGATGTGCTGCCGAACGGCTGTGTGGTGAGGCACCCGGCCTTTCAGACATTATCTGGCACTGAAAACACCAGTTACTAAGCAACGGCCAGGCCGGCAGGACCGCGGAGAGTCACTGGGAGCCAACTCGTCTCTGTAGTCAAACCAATTCAGCACAGCCTCCTTCACTCCTTTGTGCTCCTGCATTCAACTCTCCTGGGCCGCCGCCGCCTCCTCCTCCTCCTCCTCCCTCCTGCTCAAAAATAACATCGCACTCTTCACCTGTTTCCACAGAGATCTTCACAAGTTCTTTGAACAAGTTCTGAAAGTCTGTTAGTGAAAGTGAACAAAAAGTAAAAGTAGCAGAATAAAATCTTCTCCCGTGAGAGACAGCAACCCTAACATGCTGCCCGGCAGGTGGCCGGTGGACGTGGAAGTCGTAGCAACCCCTCCTCTCCTCAGTCCGACGGCTGCAGAGCGGAGGGGTTTCTGCCATCTTCGCAGGTCCAGGATCTGGGCAAAAACACCATCTGCAGGGTGGAGATGACCTCCATCTCCTCCCACATGTAAATTCACCAAACAGAGGAGTGAAAGATCTCAAACTGCTCTGGGTGTTTTGTCTGTTTGTCTTGTGATCTCACCAGATTTACAACAGACATCATTTCTCTTTCTGTCAGTTTGACACATTTCACTAATCAAAACTAACTTGGTTTATTTTGTTGCATTTCTCCACTAATCCTGCATCTATTTGGTTTAATTTTACAAACTCTCCTTGCCCAGATGTGCTGCCTGCCAGGCAGACTGAGACGACAACCAGACAGGAGGCAGGAAAAACACAATGCGCACGTTTCCCAAACTGCTGCTTTCCCACTTTTCTGAAGTTGTAGCTTCAGGTAAACGGACCACGACAGGAGCAAATAATAGGTGGTCACATGTGGTCAGTGGAGAAGGCCACGAGGCCAAACGCTCGTATGTGACCGTGATGTTCTAAAGTCAAGAGTAAAGTAGTGTTTCCTCTCAGATTGCTTGATTTGATGGGCTTTAAAGGGGCATGACACAGTCCAGATTTCACAGTAAACTAAGAAAAACCAGATTTATCCTGCCAGCCCTTGAGGAGTCCCGGTTGGAAACCAGGGTGCTAAGGTGACACGAAGCAGGGCAGGTTGTGAGTCAAACACCAAAACCATTTGGTTTCTGTCATATTGTGGTTTTTAATTGGCCGATCGTGGATCAGAGAAGATTTGAACTGCAGCAGCTTCTTTTATTGGTAGTAAAGAGTTTTGGAGCTTAGCTCAGCAGATACTCAGACAACCTCCTGACCAGTTTCACCAGTTTACAGCCAGTAGGGTCAGAAGACTGGAGAGCCACGGCATACTCGTACTGTCAGGTGGTAACGTCCCACCATGCCAGTCGACCAGCTACTAGTCTGCTTGTTCTCCTGTACAATGCTGTACTGAGCACTCGAGGGAAAACGTGCGCTTGTATGTCTGCTTCACTTTCTCAGTGTGATGGTCGCCTCAGTTTAACCTGTTCACTGCCAGGGTTGCTGCCTCTCAGGCTGCCTGTCAGGAAATTCGGTAGTCGAAGGTGTCCTTCTCCATGTAGTCCGACCAGGTGGAGGATGGCATGCTCCGGTACGGGTCGAGAAGGATCCGGAAACAGCGGACGATCAGCAGGCCCAGGAAGATGAAAAGGATGAGGACGAAAACAAAGGCCGCCCTCTGCTCAACTGTGAGGAATGAGGCCGATGCTGAGGAGGAAGAAGAGGAGGAGGAGAAGTCTGATTCAGACGCAGAGAAGGTGCTGCTGTAGAGGTCGTCGGCCATGTTGAGACGGGGAATGATTGGTTGGTTCAGACTGTCCTCTTCTTCTGTCCAGTGGGAGAGGGTCGACAGGAAACCATCATCTCTGTGGCAGAAGATTGGAGTGAGAGAGGAGAGGCTGCAGGGGAACAGAGAGAGACAGACCAATAAGTCACCATCTGTAAGGCCACGAGTTCAGTCTGAACAAAGGATCTGCCAGAAAATCACCAGAAACAAACAATTAGGCTAAAACAACAGGCCTAAAACTGTCTCAGGTTCAACAGAACAAACAGCATAAAATGATAAATACAGTGGAATTCAATACATTTACAAGAAAGAGAGAACAAGACAAAGTAACTGAATTAAAACCAAGAAAGCAATGCTCTCCAAAGGCTGATGGGGGCGCAATAGCTGCAGGAATTGAATTCAGAGAGTAAGAAAGGAAAAGGTGCAGAGACAGGGCAGAGGCACTGTCCATGTTATCGTAACAAGGATCCCTTCATTCACTACAAAGCTGAAAGGTTTTAGCTGCCCTACACTGGTTGTACCAGTGAATACAGAGCTACACGGAGACGAGTGTCCACATCAGCAGCTGCTTCACAGCTGTTAATAACGTTCAGACTGTGATTTAGATTTTGTCAGAGCCTTGAAGCTAAAAACGGATTAAAGACTGGAGACCAGAACAAAGGTCCAGGCAGTGGCGGGAGAAGTACTCAGATTGTTTACTCAAGTAAAAGTAGCAGTACCAGAGCGCAGAAATACTCTGTTACAAGTAAAAGCCCTGCATTCAAAATGTTACTTAAGTAAAAGTCCAAAGGCATAAAATGTTCAAGTAAAAGTACTCACTATGCAGATTGACACAGTTCACATGAATTATATCTTAATACTGGACTATTACATCGATGTATTACTGTGTTCATCACTTTAATGCTGCAGCTGGTAAAGGTGGAGCTGATGGTAACTACCTTATACTAGGAAGTACTTTACATCCTGCTGCGTAGCTGGTGGATTTCCCACCAGGATCAATAGAGTCTGATGATTAGACTCTATTTTGTTTAATTATCTAATTTGTTTCAGTAACTAGTAACTATAGTTATCAAATAAATGTAGTGAGTAAAAAGTACAGTATTTTCTGTAACATGTAGTGAAGTTGAAGTATAAAGTAGCAGAAAATGAAAATACTCAAGTAAAATACAGATACCTCAAAACTGTACTTAAATACAGTACTTGAGTAAATGTATTTAGTTATGTTCCAGCTCAGGATCCAAGTGTTTCACAAAAATCACAGCTGCAGATTTTCTGACATCTTGTTTGTGAAATTTTGACTTCGTGGTGCCAGCGTCAGCAGAATGCGGACAGGAAGCCCTCGACGCTGTCCCAGCTGTCCGCCCAGCATCGTACTCGTCCAGTGGGTCGTCTCTGCAGCATATGTTACGTCTTCGTCCTCACGTTTGTGTCCTCATGAAGCCAAGCTGACTTCAGCCTCGTGCTCCCTCTCATGCCAGCAGCATGTGGGTGGGACTGTGGGAGTAGATGGTTAGAAAAACATCATTCTGGAGCCAAGCTCTTCATTTGCTTCCCACGTACAAGTTAAGGCCAAGATGGCTTCAAACACTGGCACGGCTTTTTTCAGCTGCGTCTGCTTCTGTCTGAACCTGGCTTCGACTTGCCTCCACATGCAGATGAATGAGGACTTGTGAGGTTTCATGTAGTGAAGTTAACGGATGTAAAGATGCAGGAAACATCCAGCTGAGCCTCCTCTACAGAGAGATGGCTCTGAGCCGTCACACTGGCTTCTGTCTGTAGTTCACCGTGGTCTGCTGTTTGGAATTTAGGTTTGACTCCCAGCCTCCTCGACAGGCCCTCCACATAGCTCAACAGTCCTGACATGATGGTGCAGTGGGATAACAAACCTCCTGCGGTGCTCAAACACAGAGTAAAATGTATTTATATGGCACATTTCTACACCAGGCTTTTCACAGTACATCACAATAAAGACAAGAGTCTTCCAGGAAACTCAGCGCGTCTGCCTTCGGACAACATGGACAATCTGGACATTTACTGGTCTGGAGCTGATTTCTTGTTGATTCTCCACCAACACAAAACAGTTACTCTGTCATCCCATACGGTCCAAACTTTGTCATCTGACTGCCCACAGATCTACGAAGCAGCCTACTTCCCTTTCTACCTGTGTCTCTGTCCACCTACATCTGTACACATCTATCCACCTGTGTATCTACATACTTGCATCTCTATCTACACAAGTCTCTGTGTATCCATAGCCCTTTTCAGATGTGCACTGGAGCCCTGAAGTGATCCGGACACCATCTGGAGGAGCTGAGAGAACACAGATGTCTGAGTCACTTGACCCAGACATTAAGTGTACTTCACCCTGCCAGCTCCCTGGTACAAAGTCACTGTGAGGTCCAAGTGAGCCCATGAGAGGAACCAGCAGCTCATAGTCCAGAGTATTCACATCGAACTAGCCAGTCTGATGTTCTATCATGTGACCAGCATGAAACAGGAAGAACACAAACATGCAATGGTGAAGAGGAACGGACATGTATGATGAAGAAGGAAATAAAAATATCTAACTGAAGATCCAGGAACTTCTGTCATTAAGAGTCAGTGCCTGAACCGTCGGCCAAATTCAAGCAACAACAAGAGATTTGGTTGGTTATGACAGAATCACAAACTGGCCATGTGACTGTGCCATGCCCTGCCTCCTTCCCGCCCCCTGCATGCTCTACCAACCAGATAGGTTCCTGTAGGTGAGAACGCTGACTGTCTCCTGTTGTGTGCTACATGTGTGAAAAGGCAGCTTTGGACAAAGTCTGGCCCTGGCTTCACGTGTGAAGGAGCCCACATCTCCACACCACTTATCGGTCTAGGGGTCAGTCTACAGTACCTCTGTATCTGTCCATCCTTTACCTCTCTACTGGCAGTCGGTGTCTGTCCATCCATTCCCTCGCTACAAGTGACTCAGCAGCTCTGTTGAAAACTGAGGGGGAAACAGCTCAGCCTGATTTAGGAGGCCTGTCAACGGGAGACGAGGCGCTTCATGAACACTGGCCCAGGTCATTTACATGAAGCGCTGGCAGAGCAACTGCTTTGCCATCATCAGCCTGGTAGTTAATCAGCACCAACATATGATGGGCCTCAAATCCTGGGTTGCAGTGGGTGACTAAACTACTGGCCTTATACATGTCTCTTTATATGCGTCACACAGCTCTGGTTCCCATCGGGTTTAATGAGCGCAGCGAGCCGACTGCGGGTTGTTCACGAAGGATATCCTGAGTCTGCACAATTCAACTCTCTCCTCCCTCCCTCTTTAATATTTCACTGCTTCTTCTACACCTTTATTCCGTTCAGCTTGGTAACCTTCGTTCTGAGTTTAAGATGCAGCTGGTGTGTTTCTGTGTGGCCTGGAGAGAAGTTAAGTCCCTAAAGCTTCTGTTATTTACAGATTAATTGGAGGCCATTTGAGCAGATTTATCATTGCAGAAGGGGCACACAGACACACACACACACACACACACACACAAACCCAGACGGATGAAGACAGGAACAAAGGCCCAAGCCCCCCCAGGCTGCGGCTGCTTGGTTCTGAAAAAGTGTGGAAACCGACAGAAGCAGATAGATGTGGATGTGATAGAAAGCATCATGCTGACCTCCGAGGTGTCACTGTGAGAGGTCGCCACAGCGTCCCGGGCTGCACCTCTGAAGAGGCATGTCCATGGAGTCAAAGTCAGGTAGAAGGTTCTCAAACAAGTGTGAAGCTCAGCCGAGGTCACAGCTTCATCACTGAACTCATTTCTCTTCCTCTTCACTCTGTTTCATAGTGTCACATAAAAGGTGTGGAGGTTTCTGTCCCGGTGTGATGCACTGAGCTGGTGGTAACAGTGCACTGGCCCCGAGGGCTCTCAGCCTCATGTTACTACTGCCTTCACTCTCAGTGGTAAACATATATCAAGCACGGCGCCGTACGGTTCAGATGCGTAACTGATATGAACATGTACTGAGGAAAGACATAAATCAGACCATGAGTAGAAGAAACTCTGTGACCTGCTGGGACCTGAACCTGTCATGTACAAACCTCATAGACTTTGTATTTGCAGAGAGAAGTTGGGAGTTTTTCCCATTTACATCAGTACAGTTAGATAGGAGCCTCATCACAGCGGTGCCTAGTGGACATCGGAGGAACTGTAGGAGACCCAGTGATGGTACATTCACTGACGCCTTGGTTATCTGGACATTGTTTCCTCCTGTGCTGACACGACTCCTACTGGGTCTTTGAAAAAGACAGTGATATTGATATTAGTTTGTTTTTAAATCTGGACCACGGTGATAAAACCCTCTGGAGGGTTGATGAGCGGAGTGGCTACGTCAGGTGAAGCGTTGCCATGGTGACAGCTGCTAACTTCCATATTCTAATCTGTCACTGGGAGACAGACCTCTCAGTAACCATGGCAACCTCAGCACGCACTGTGGTCTCAGCACACACACACACACACGTTTGTCTTTCAGTAGTTGTGAGGACCCCTATGCTACTGGCGAGAACATCAAGCCTAGAGATTCTCAGGAAAGTTGTGTGGAGCGTCATTTTTACATGATTTCAAAATAAATTCATGAACAATATTTTTGCAGTGGGCTTCAGAGATAATACTGGTTGGTAATATGAACCAGTGTTACCAGTATTGTTGGGACGTGTCATGTTGGCGTGTTCTGATTTGACTGAGTTATGACAACTGGTCACTAAGAGGTTTAAAGACGAAGAATCACCTCCATGTTTTCATGCAGGCACCTGCACCTTCTGTCCCCCGGGACAAACTTTACATTGTTACTGTGGCTCTACTATGAGTGCAGGTAAAAGCAAAACCTCAGAAACAAAACGAATGTTTTTTGTTTCCTGCTGCTGGAGGTGGAAAGGATACAGAGTGGAGTGTTGGCGTGGAGAGAGAGTGGGAGGCAGAGGAAGACGTCAGCCTGTGTGGGACAGAGAGCCGTTGGTCTCACATGCTGAGTTCCATTAATCCTAATGTGCTCAGAGAGAAATGTTAAGAGCTGTATTTCCGTTACACCAGACAACATGTAAAATTCCTCCCTGGTGTTATTTTCCACCAACACTGAGCTGCAGCC